GTAGCTGAGAGTTCTACATCTGGATCTGCAGGCAACAGGAAGAGAAAGACTATGGGCTTGTAATAGGCTTTTTGAAACCTCAAAGCCAATGGCCAGTGAAATACTTTCTCCAAGAAGGCCATATTTCCTAATCCTTTCTAATAGTGCTACTTCCTGGTGATCAAGGATTCAAATCTATGAGCCTATGTGAGGCATTCTCATTCAAACCACCATAAAAGGTCATCTAGTTCAATCTCCAAGGTATGAATTACCTGCTTAAAAACAAAGTCAGTTCAGGTAGATGTGAGGGCACATGTTTGTAATCTCAGTATTAGGGAGGAAATATGAGGAGAGTGAGAGCTCCAGTCCAGCTACATAGAAGATCTTCTTCAAATAAACAATAACAACAGCTCCTCCCTCAATTTATCTTTTGGGGAGCCTCATTTTCTTTATCTGTGTAAGCGAGAAGATGGGACAAGTTGAAGTCTGGATTCATTGTGGTTCTAACATCCAGAGCAAGTGGGAGCAGCAGTAAGCAGAAAACCTGCTGTGAAGTCAGGAATATCACATGAGGAAGAGAAGTGTGATGCTCTTCCTTCCTCCAAGTACCAACATAGAAGTGCTAACCCTGATGTGAAGCATTGAGGAACTGTGGGCAAATCTGGAAGCTATGCCTAGATACGCCAGCAATACAAACACTTCTATTTCTTCCAGAATGGTGACGGGCTAATTATAGGCATTGATTTTATCACCTCTCTTCCCAAATGTGTAACCTTGATGGAAGTGTGAAGTTCCCAGAGCCAGAAAGAACAGAAGAAAGAAGCAGGCAGATTCCCTTAGCCTTCTCCAAATGCTAAATTACTCATGATGGCACATCCTTACCAAATCCATTTCTTGAAGGTCATGAGGATACAGGTCAAAACAATAACATCTCAGACCCACCTGAGGCTCCTGTCAAATTAACCCCATGCAGACTCACATTCACAGTCTTTCCCCAGGAGTGAGCAACGACAGCCAATGCAGAGGCAGGTTTAGTAACCTGGAGAAAGGACATCCATGCAAGGCCTGTGCCTGGAAGTGGATTATGCTGCAGTTTTCCAGAGCTAAGGGCTTGTCAAGAGTCCCCTGTACATCATTTCACTACATGAGCCTTCGGTGGAGAGGACTCACACATAGACAGAAATGCAGTGTCTAGAATTCAGAGGTGGGGACTTGGGAATGTTGGGGTTCTTTGGGGCAAGACAGGAGGGAGTTAAAGCACTTGGCAGCTGATAACGAGGATAATATAAACAGATATTCTGTAATCTGTTTCCGGCCAGACCCCTATTAACAAACTTACTTCTAATTTCATTTATTCAGTCCACAAATGTTTTCTGAGCATCTACTTTTTGCTAACTTCTGTTCCAGATTCTAGGACATGCCAGTGAATGAAATATGTAACATTTGCTGTCACTGAATTTCCCAAAGGAAAATGAGCAGTAACTAAACAGCTATGCAAATAAGAAAATGTAGCTTCATGACACTGCTGAACACCTATGTTCAGTTCATTGGAGAGAACAGAAAGGGAAGGAAAAATTCTAGTGGGCCTTTTGTTCTAAGTCAGGAGAACTCATGTGGACATGAAGGCAGATGGAATGTAAGGTCAACTCAGGAACAGTGACATTTCAGGGCCTAGCCAGTGAGGTGGGCACAGAAGAGGAGCTGAAGGACTGAGTATATAGCCTAGTGGTTAAGCCCTTGCCCAACACCCACAAAGCCCCAGCACTACACACACACACACACACACACACACACACACACACACACACACACACACACACACACACACGAGGAGGAGGAGGAGGAGGAGGAGCTAAGAAGAAAGGACTATGCGGCTGGAAAACAAGACAAGTGTGAGGACAAAGGAAAGAACTGGACAGGTGGTCGAAGTCTCTGATTACCAAAGCCACTTAGGAACATGAGATGGGGAGCACAGGACAGAAGCTGGGAAGCAGTGTGCCCCCAAGGTCACGAGTAGCAATGGGCCAAGGCTGCCAAGGGAAGGCAGATCTCAGAACACTGGAGGTTGCCTGAAAACTAATATCTGAGAGAGACCCAGAGGGCATTCTAAATGAAGGTGCAGAGTCAGAATTTCCTCCAGACTCAAGGGGGCAGGGACACTGAGGTATTTCCCCTGGAGAAAGACGTGGTCTGGTGTTTTCTAGAGAGTGCACTGGGTGTAAGTGGTTGAAATTTGGTGGCAGTAGGAGACACTATCAGAGCATCTTAGCAAGTCAAGGAATTGAAAAAGCAGTGGAGAAGATTGACCCTGTAGAGATCCCATGGTGGATGAGGACATCATGGGAATAGGAAGAGGCAGGGTGCTGGGGAGGCTCTCAGGAATCCACAAGGATGACCCCACCTTGGACTGCTGGCAGTGGTCCAGAGGGTGCCTGGACTGGTCTACTCTGGTGACCGGTCTATCGAATAACCTACCTGTCATCGTGGAGCCTTTGTCCAGTGACTGATGGAGGCAGATGCAGAGATCCACAGCCAGGTACCAGGCTCAGCTCCGGGAATCCAATTGATGAGAGAGAGGAGGGATTCTGCAGGCAGGGGACATCAAGATCATGATGGGAGGACGTGCAGAGATGACTGGCCACACTAGTGGAAGCCCATGAACTGTGGACTGGTGGCTGTGGAGCCCACATGGAACTGTACTGGGCCCTCTGGATATGAAAGACGGTTGTTTGGCTCGAACTGTTTGGGAGGCACCAAGGCAGGGAGATCGGGATCTGTCCCTGGTGCATGGGCAGTCTTTTGGGAATCTGGTGCCTGTGGTGTGATGCCTTGCACAGCCTTGGTGCAGTGGGAAGGGGCTTGGACCTGCCTAGGCTCAGTGTGCCCCGCTCTGCTGACTCCCCATGGGAGACCTTGATTTGGGGGCTGTGGGGCTGTGGGGTGGCTTGGGAGAGGGATGGGGGATGGGGGAGGAAGGAGGGGGAATCTGGGGGTGGTATGTGGAGTGAGTAGAAAATTTCTTAATAAAGAAAAATGAAAGAAAAAAAAAAAAAAGATTGACCCTGTAAGATCCCATCTTCATCCAGCACAACAAGCAACACTAAGCAATGTAGCAGCTATTTCTTTTAGGGCCTCCACCCAGTTCCCAAATCATGACACTGAGACTTCTTATTGGTTATGAATGCTCAGCCTTAGCTTAGCTCTTTTCTGGCTAGCTCTTTT